AGATTTCCAGTCCCGAGAAAGATCAATCTGCACAGCGCCGGGCTCGCCAGCCGGTGCCACAGACCCGTCGGCGGCCCGCAGACTGGGGGAGGGGACTCTGCTGGGAGCCCTGCAAAGCAGGCCCATCTCACGAGCTGCATTTGAGCTGCCCGTCTCACGAGGAATGGTTTGGCAGTGGGTATATTAAAGTCAAAAACATGTTTAATGCAGTCACGGAGATGGCAACAACTTCTCTCAGATCCTGCCACGGCAATAAGACAGATAAGACTTGGGTGGAATGCATGCTGCCCTCTCTCCTCAATATTTTGCCAAGTAGGACTGTGCTGACAGGGTCTCAAAATGAGTTTCTGTATCCGAGGTCTGGCTAGGAGCAAGACTCTGGAGGTGGATGTCTTCAGCAAACAGGCTGCACTGTAACTGCTGACGCATCGAGATCTCTGCCCGCAGGCAACACAGGGCAGAACAACCCTTCACTCGCAGGACGTGTTTTTCAGATAGAGGAGGAATTATTTTGGTAGTTGCTCTACTGAGGCGGGCAGCGTGCCCTGCTGGAGAGCCGAGCAGCAGGGCTGCCCAGCAGCAGGCCCTTGGGCGGTGGGGTCACAGCTTCACACAGGACCTGAGGCCGCGCGTTCCCGGAGCTGTGATTTCCTCCTGGCCTGTGCCTATAGCTGGGGTTCCAGGAAGCAGCACAAGTTCACTCATCTCTGTGATTAAAGTACTCCTTTACCATACAATGTTCCAACCCTGTCTTCCCTAGCCATGTGAGTACACCGCCAACCACAGGTGTCTGCTTACCAGAAGGTCACTGTGAGGGATGGAAAGCAGAAGCTTGATAAAAGTTTGCAAGGCATTGTCCAGTGCATCATCCCCGTAGAGACGGAAGACCCCGAAGTTGACGTAGCTCCCGCTCAGCGCGGCCTTCAGCATGGAGAAGCAGATGGAAATCCCCTTCAGCTTCAAGGCATAGACTTGATCCTTTGGGACCTCCCCAAGCGTTAGGATACGATTTCCTGCACGAGCACAGAAGCGGACTCAGTATTTCAGCAGCCACAGCCAAGCCCCTTCTCCCCGAGGGTGCAGGAGAAACAAAAGTAGAGCCACAAGGAGTGACTGAGAAGTCAGCCACAAGCACCAAAGATTTACTCCCCAGCTGAAGGTTACGGAACCCGTCACAAGTTAAAAGCGTGGCTCTACTAGGAAACATGGGAGGACGCAGCTGCACGTAATTTTGCTGCAGAAACCGGACAGGATTGCTCTCTGGTTGCTTCACGGGTTTGCCCATCTCACCGGGCACACTCATGAGGGGCTGAGCTGGGCTCCTGCTCGTTGCTGTCAACGCTCTACTGCAAACGCCCTGGCCCTTCTGCTTGCCTGCCCACCCAGCCCTTCAAGCAGAAGCATCTCCCTGTATCTAAGCCTGGATTCAGCAAACGATTTGGCAGTGCCTCCCAGCCCGGGCTCGCTCTGCGAGCTGGCAAGCGCCCCAGCCCTCACTCCCCAAGCGAGCGGAGGAGTCAAGGGCAGGCCGAGGCTGCCCGGATCCCACCCGCTGGATACTCACCATACGTCGTTATCATTTTTTTTTTTTGAAGAGCAGGATGCCATTGGGTGAGGACACATCAAACTGCAGCCGCTGGGATCTAAAAGAAAGACAGGGAATAAACTGGAGCTCAGATACACCCGGGAATAAAAAGGAAGCGAAGACTCCAGCACCTCCAGGCGCTGCTGTCTGCTGAGGCACCCTCTGCCCAGGGCAGCTCCCCAGAGTTCAACAAAACGCCCTGGTCTGGTAGAAAATACTGCCGTTCACTACCAAAGCCAGACAGGACACAGCCACTCGGGGACAGACAAGCTCTGCTGTCGCAGAAGAAAGGGCCTATATTTCACAGCCGTTAGGGATATTACAAGCTCGAGGCTGGAAATCCTGTCTTGGCAATAGTCACTAGGCTACTGTACACAAACACAGCGAACATCTTGGGAGCGGCATTGTGGGGCAGGCTGACTGGCTCCTATTCATACCACGAGCAAGAATTCAGAGCTTGGCATTTTCTCCCCTACAGCGAACAGATCTTACAATTGAAGCGCAGCGAGCTGTGCAGTTCACCTCTGAAATAAATGACTGGACGTATTCCAGTAAGGACCGTCCTACTGCAAAGATGCCGCTGGGACGTGGAAACAGCCTGACAGTACGGAGAGTCAGCTCTCGGATGACTGTGCCTGAACCTTGTGTCCCTTCCTACAGGGTTGTGTTCAGCTGGCTGCAAGCCAGGGCAACGTCTTGGCAACCTTCCACTGCCGGATTAGACAGCTTCTGAATGATCTGAGTAGCGTCAGAGGTACCTCTCTGCTGGCAAAGAGAGCTGATGCTCTAAAGCAAAAGTGGTCATCTGGCTGCCAGAGAGAACAACGCTCCTTTTAAGCACAGGTTTTAAAAATTAACGTGAGTTGTCTGCCTCCATCTCACAGCGCTGTCCTTGGAAGCGGGCGCTGAACTAATTCAGCGTCTATCGATCGTGTCTCGGTCTGAGTCATGACACGACTGATATCTGAACTGTTAGATTTTCTTCCCTACTGAAACAACACCCGTTTCCCCCCCTCCCCTTGGCAGCCTTTACAGCATAACTAGACTGACGTAGAGACAACACAGCGGGGCACCACCACCCACGCAAAGGCCGAGGCAGCAGGCAGGCACAAATCCCTGCCAGCTTCCAGATGCCCGGGGTCTGTACCTATTATGGACCAACTCTGCCATCAGTTTCAGGACCGGTGTAGTGCAGGCTGGGTCGTGGTACCAGAGCTCGATGGCTCGCTGCAGGATTGGCATGTAGGATGGGTAGCTGCAAGGTGAAAGCTAAGGAACTTTGTTGCTTTGGACAAAGAGAAAAGGTCACAAGTTCTACCAGAAAGGCAAGTTTTGTGTACTGCACCCTAACCTCACAAAGCAGCTTACTTAACAAGGTTAAACAGAGATGCTGCTTGCTGGGGTCTGCTTCATCACAGAAAATAAATAATTAAAGAAATATCTGAAGTCTGTGGAGGGAGTTGCATACACATTTCTGCTAGAACAAACCAGAATTTTCAAGGTTTTGAATGAAAGGGAAGATGGATACAAAGATCTATTACTGCAACAGAAGCTGACCTTCACCAACCAAAGAGAAATCTGGAGCCCAGATACTGTGCTCTTTAAGCAGCTATGCTCTCACCAAGAGGACAAAAATACCAACTGCTGCTGGCTTTGGTGACCGAAAGGAAAGCTTTTGTTGCTGCGGAGACACAAGCATCCCATTAAAGGCCTTCATGCTTTACAGGTCAAATCTCTTTGGGTCCAATCGGAAAAACCCCATCAGTTCAGCTTTGAGCAGATTTCTAGGTTGACTTGGTTGCAGACAGACCAAGTCCCATCTATTCTGAGGCTTAGAGACAGGACATCGAGTACTATAAAAGAGAAGAGAAACCCCAGCCAAGATTCAGCAGGGAAAACAGGGCATTTGGATGCAGTCAGCCCGAGTTCTCCCCTCTGACAGACAGGATGACTCCAGTTTTAGGGCAACACAAGGATACATCCACTCAAACAGCATCATGAAGCTGGTCTTGGCATTGAAGGCAAAGGCTATTCCCCTCAGGTCTCTCACCAAACCAACCAAAGTTCTCTGTATTGCAAAAGAAAAGATGCATTAAAATGTGACACGTGTATGGATCTCTCCCTCCCTGGCTCCAGCAGCCCAGGGCCCCTTCCCTTCCTCCCACCCCAAGAGCAATACAGCCTTTCTGTGCTGGATGTCCATCCCAGGGCAGACAGTTCTTGCCCTTCAGTGCCAGAAATCCTTTTAAATTTGAGCCAGTGCAGTGACAGTACTGGGGTATTTCGCTCCCAGCAGAAGGAAGGCTAGCAGACAAGCCTCACTGCTTCAGTTACGAACTACACCTAGACCCCAAGAGATCCACCACCGCTTCCCCACACGCTGAAAGCAAAGCGCCTATCGCTCCAGCATCTACTTGTCACGTTCTGAGGGCAGAATGGCTCCCCCTCTGCAGGAGTTGCTTGTTCTCTCCTGTCTGAACTGAAACTCTCACTTAGAGCAGGGAGAGCACGGTTATCGGGGGAGGCCCTGCCCAACTTACTTTTGCCTCTTGTTCGTTGAAAGTATTTGTGCTGAACATCTGTGCCACAGTCTCAAAGGCAGCTGTGAGGGGAAGCATGAACTGCTCATACTGATCCTCATCTTCCCCTGAAAGCGAAAAAAAAAAAGACATCAGGAGGAAATAGGCTGCACATCCCCGCGCCCTGCAGCACTGCCTGTCCTAGACACTCTGACATTGCTCCCCCACGGGGCTAGAGGCAGGGAGACCACAGGTTTCCAGACAGGTGATCTATCACTGCCAGTATCTAAGGTCAAGACTTAGAGCAAACCCTGCTACCTTGGGAAAACATCTGGAATATTACGAAGGAAAAATGTCGCCCCAGCCTTGGTGGTGTGCACCTCTGGACTACCTGTACCCAGCAACATGGTGTCAAACCCACTCTTGACCTTCTTTATCCTCCTTTTTCTTATCCCATTTGGCTTCTCCCGTTCCAGCATCCTTCCCTGCAGCAGCTTACAGCTCCCTACCTAGCAGGGCCTAGCCTACTGCAGAGCCCAGCATCCAAACCACGAAGTCACCATCTCGCTCCGGTTCCAAGGAAAAGACCCGAGTACCTAAATCCACCATGAGCAGACGTCCAAGTGCAGTGTAGAACGTAGTCCGACACCTCATGTCAGTCAGGTTGGACTGATTGTTAATGCCCAGGAAGGAAAAGTGCTCGCTCTGCAAAGGGAAGAGAAGAGAGAGGTTAAAGGGGAACCACCAGCTTGCACGGGCTCCTGTATCCAGGGCTGAGGACCCCCTGTTGAATTCTCCGTCTGTGCAAGGCTGAGCAGCAGCGAGCTGCAGGGTTGTCTTGTGCACGGCTTCAGATCTGCCAGCCATCTCGGAGAACAGGCCACCAGATGGCAACAGGCACCGCGCCGGCACGCAGCGGCCTCTCTGCTGGTGAAGCCACCATCTTTCATCTCGGAATTCCCCGGGACCAGACCAACAAGGAAGTCTGGCTTTGCCTCCAGAACGGGGAAGCAATCTGCTCCCCTTACTCCCGGGGACCCTTCAGGCATTAAGGCTGCTCTGCAGACAGATCCCTGGTTACTCTGCCCACATTCTCCACGGAAACCGTAGCCCCGGACAGTGCAGTCTGAATGCAGCTTCTGGGTCAAACGCAGGACGTGGGGCTGGCTGCAGAACCTCCCCCAGCTGAAGGAACACAGTGCCTCGCTCCATCAGGCGCTGCAAACCTTCTGGAGTCCTATCGCTACAGCATCAGAGCATCAAATGACCACATGCTCGCAGCGGCCACCCAGGAATCTGATCCTTTGCTGCTGGCCTCTAGCTGCTCACGCTAACATTTCTGATTTCAAGTCAGCATCCCAGATGGGCACAGGGAGTGCGATACCGGCAGCGACCAAGGAACCAGGCTGCTATCCTGACCACTGCAAGCTACAGCACTTCTTCCAAACCAGCACTTTTGGAATGAAAGCTGGGGCACTGAAATGCTGTGATATTCTGCATTAAATTGCATAAACAGTGCTCACTGCTGTCTGCCTGCATGTGCAGCACTATCAACTCGTCTCCCACATTTCACTTTCAGTGAAAAAAAACCAGAGTAGAGACCCCACATTAACCCTTTGGGGATGAAAGGTACCAGATAACTACAGCCCCTCAACACTGAAGGGCAGGCTTTGCACAGAGAGGTGGAACACAGATCACATTTTCTAGAGGCTCATGTGGATGATGGAAGCATCTGGGAGACAGGTAAACTTCAAAAGTGTGTCCAGGTGTTAAAATTCGGGGATTATCTCAGCCACACAAAGGCAGATGGAGGGGTTTGCTGAGAGATGAAAAGCAGAAGGAGAAAGGACCTACCGTGTGATTGTTCAGCATGAACTGTACGGCGCTCAGCTTCACCAGCTTCCTAACGCTACTGTACGTAAAGGGGGTGTTAAGGAAGCAGCAGAGTCAGCAGAAAACTTCTTGCAACCCTTGCAAAGCACTTTCCAGGATAAAGGAGACTGATGTCTGTATTATTTAATTCTAGTTCTAGACTCTCTCCCATTTGCTTCAAGAGCAGCCAAGCTGCGTTCCTCTCCACTGCCCAGACCTACAGCCACCATTTTTATTTACTCTGTCAGGAAGAACAAGCGGAAGACTGTAAGACAGACTGTGACTGTAAACAAATTAACTGTGGATGGTAAGCTACAAAGCAATTACGATCCAAAGTAATAATAATAAAAAAAACCCCCCCCCCTACAATATTATAGCCATCTACTGCAATTCAACAGCTAGATAAAACGTTGCCCAAGCACTTGCACTCTGCTCTTCTCACTGCTGCAAAGCTGAAGCGGCTCAGGAATCTGTTACACGCAGAGTGCTCCTGTTCCAGGCGAGCATCTGGGTCACTCTTCCCCCATCCTGCGGTTTAAGCCTCCTGTGCACCCAGCAGCTCTCGTGGAAAGGATATCCGATGGAGAGGTCATTGAGCAGCTGCAGCGTCTTGGAGGTGATCGGCTCGCATCGGCCCCAGTACTTCAGGTTGGTGATGCTAGGGAAGAGGACAACAAGGACGAATTAGAGGGGTTTGCTCGGCTTCCCCTTTGCTGTGCGGCGGATTCTTCCAGTTCAAAAGTCACCCAACATCATCAGCTCCACCCTCCACCGAAACCACAGACATCACAAGCCACAAAATATTGGTATAAAATTACTGTACTTACATTTGGTTGACTAGAAAATTATCCTTCAGATAATCTTCACTACTTGGGTCCCAAGCTACACTGGCCCATACCCAGGCCCTTGGAATTCTGTGGCACTCCAGGGCTGGTTTCTGCAGCAAGGGTAAGAGAATTCTGCGGCAGTGACTACATGCAGACGTATGCAATTCTGCACCTGCACCATCCACTGTCAGCTGCAGAATTCTAGTAGCCCTTGCTTCTTCCAGGAGAGCCATATCACCCCTTGGGGACGACGCGCAGCCGGAGCGCGCGAGGGTAGGCAAGGCCCCATGCACGTGAAGACGGGGGCGATGCTAAAGAAATGGAGGGGGAGGCAGCAGCTGCGCTTCACCAGGCGCACGGCACTGGGCGCCAGCACTGGAGCAACTGAATGGGTTCAAAACGCTAAGGGAGGCTGCCAAAGACACGACAAAAAGCCAGTCGACAGGTTGGGTCCAGAGGAGAGCTGCTAAGGAACAGGCAGAACAGGGTGCCTACCAGAGCGGAGGAGCGTTAGGAAAAGGACCTGCGCTACTCTGGTACGGAACAGCACAATTTGCAAAGAAAAAAAAAAAACTTTGAAGGAGCAGTCCCCTCCCCAGAGAGCTTTTGTGGCTGCTGACTGCCAACAGACAAGTGATGGGGCATGAGTCAGTGACTACATGCAGACGTATGAAATTCTGCACCTGCACCATCCACTGTCAGCTGCAGAATTCTAGTAGCCCTTGCTTCTTCCAGGAGAGCCATATCACCCCTTGGGGACGACGCGCAGCCGGAGCGCGCGAGGGTAGGCAAGGCCCCATGCACGTGAAGACGGGGGCGATGCTAAAGAAATGGAGGGGGAGGCAGCAGCTGCGCTTCACCAGGCGCACGGCACTGGGCGCCAGCACTGGAGCAACTGAATGGGTTCAAAACGCTAAGGGAGGCTGCCAAAGACACGACAAAAAGCCAGTCGACAGGTTGGGTCCAGAGGAGAGCTGCTAAGGAACAGGCAGAACAGGGTGCCTACCAGAGCGGAGGAGCGTTAGGAAAAGGACCTGCGCTACTCTGGTACGGAACAGCACAATTTGCAAAGAAAAAAAAAAAACTTTGAAGGAGCAGTCCCCTCCCCAGAGAGCTTTTGTGGCTGCTGACTGCCAACAGACAAGTGATGGGGCATGAGTCCTTGAGGCTGCCCCTTCTCTGACTTTGGTTTTACTAAGCAGGCACTGGAAGAAGAATCCATTATCCCGGCGTACGGCTTATTTTTGTGTCTCCACAGCCCAGGCTAGCATCCACGGTGGATAAATCAATCCTGGATATTGCACGTGACTTAAGCCCTGATAAAAGCTGTAATTCTCTCGAGTAGCCAGATGTTACTAGCTTTAGACTGAACAACACTCCCTCATATTCCGGTTTTCCTGGTGACACCTTCAGATAAACCCTGGAATCTCTGGTGCCTGCAAGCAGGAACACTTACATTTTTCCTATAAAGACGCTCAGGACCATGGTCTCATCATTCAAGCCCAGGACCTCTGAGAGACGGCGGTACAGCTGGAGAGAAAAAAAAAATAACACCCATTAAAAAGCTGTCAAGAAAACAAGTAATGATCAAGGATTATTCGTTCTCCACTCGCTCTCCCTTCGCAGCACACGTGCCTAGGAGGGCGTACGCTCCGGGCTTTCCCAGATCACCAGCACCTCTGTGTGTTGTGTGACCGATCTGATCCAGACCGACACCTGCCCCAGCCACTGCTATCTCTTTTCTACCGCTCGTCACAGCGGGGTCGGGTACTGTACACAGAAGCGGGAGCACTTGCTTTTCCTAGGGAAAGGGGACATAACTGTGCTCCTCCACCTGCAGCTTCGTGCAGTATCTCGGTCTGTCTGTCTGGAGCTCCAAGCCCCTCGCCACATCACTGCTCCAAAGTCTCCGGGGTGGGCAAGGAAGGTCACAGGTTACTGGAAAGGAAGAGAACCTGATTCGAGAGTAATGCTGCTCCCGTTCTTTACGTATTTTTTTTTGTATTTAAAAAAGGTATTTTTCATCTCTAAAGATGCACCAAGGCATTCAAAGTGCAGTACATCTACAAATGCCTTGTGATGAAATGCCTACAAATGCCTACAAATGCCTACAAATGCCTACAAATGCCTACAAATGCCTACAAATGCCTACAAATGCCTACAAATGCCTACAAATGCCTACAAATGCCTACAAATGCCTACAAATGCCTACAAATGCCTACAAATGCCTACAAATGCCTACAAATGCCTACAAATGCCTACAAATGCTGGTGGGGGGGTCTCCTTCTCTGGAGATATTCAAGCCCCGCCTTGACAAGGTCCTGTGCAGCCTGCTGTAGGTGACCCTGCTTCGGCAGGAGGGTTGGACTAGATGACCCACAGAGGTCCCTTCCAACCCCTACTATTCTGTGATGAAGAGAATGGATATTTATCTTCACTTTAGAGCCGAGGGAGCAAGGCACAGATGCTAAGGCTCCTCCTGGGTGCACGAGGTAGTGCGACTGGCACGCTTCCACAGCTATATAGGCTCAGGGGACTCCTCTGAAGTCACAGCAGGAACCTGGTAGGTAACAGAACTGAACCCAGGTCTCCAGTTCTAGGCTACTGTCAATAGTCACTGGCTCCTTCCTGACGCACATGGAATACAGTATTTCAAAAACAGGGCAGGGTTTGCAGTGTTAACACTGGACATAGACCTAGAAAACACAGCAGACAGGTCTCTTAAGTATTTTCAGCTATAAAGAAGAAAAAACAAGTAGTGCCACTTGCTTTCATTTACAGAGGAAAGCTATTACTGGACTTTGTATCAAAGAGACACAGCCAAGGGGACTGATTACCTTGGATGACTTCTGCACCTGATCTCCAATATAGATCTTCCGGAACTGCTCAAAGAAGCTCAGCATGGCAAGCTCCAGCTTCTCATTCCCAGCCTGCGCCAGCCGAGAGTCCGTCAGGTTCATCAGCTGCAGCACTCTGGAGAGAGGTGGGAAAAAACACACCTTGCTGATGGACACTGGGAGGAACGAGGCATTGCTGGCACATGGTGCTGCTTCCAGGCTGCGTGCAACAGTATTTTTTACTTTCTGTGGGCATTGCCTTTTTGGGTCGAGAACTGACAAAACTAACCCAAAACACTGAGCAGGGCACATTCTGCTTCTGTTCAAGGCCATTATAAGGCTCCTACATCCCTTCTAACAGGGATGGCAAGGCCTGGGTTTTACTTTGCTGCAGAAGTGAGATTCGGATGCTTTAGCACATTTACCCACTGACTGGTCCATCATGTTCTCAAACCCACCTGAGAAACCACTACCTGCTGCCCTCACAAGAGCCAGACTCTACACGACATTCCCACTTCGGTTTGGCTTTTGTGGTCAGCCCTGCAGAAACAACGCTGCGACCCGCGCACGGGCTCCATGAGCAGAGCTTGCTGGCAAGGAAGCCGTGGAGGGGTTTTAGGGTAAGTAACACACGGAGCAGAACAGCGGGGCAAAAGCAACGATATTCTTTTTGGCAAGTGCCACGAAACACAGAGTGGGAAAGAAAATAAAACATAAATAGACTTCTGTGAACATCTGCCATATATGCTGGCACTACAGGTAGCTGAAATATATTCGGGGTCTCACCATTTCCTCTTCAGAAACTCAGCTACACAGGAAGCCAGCGCTTGATGTTATCTACCGGCTCACCCCCAGGCCAGCTTCCATACATTCCCAGTATAGCTCCTGGGGGATATATACCCCCCTGTATACCCTGGATTCCAAGCAGAGCAATTAGGCTCTGGACCACAAAGCGTTCAGTGTGACTCAAGGTTGCTGGTGAGTAGTAAGCCACACGTTCTCACACCCAGCACATAAAGCTTGCACTGGAGAGGATTTATAATCCCGAAAATCCAGCACTTGTTAGAAGACAGTATCAAGTTTTGACACTTATAACAGAACTACAATATTCACAACGTATTTCAGGACAAAACCCACTTTAGATTATTAACTAGGATAAAGGCTTTTCCCCCCACCCCAGCACAGAACCATCATGCATTTGGTTCTACTCCAATGCATGCATTTAAGCCTGGTATAATTCCCCTCTTACATGCTCTTCCCCTCTCGTTCTCTTGCTTATAACCCAGATTGCCCAATTTAGCAGAAGTTTGCTGACTGGCTCTAACCAGAGCCGCCAATCTCTTCTTGCAGGATGGCCAATTCCACACTGTTCCTTTCAGCAAAAAGAGGGGAAGAACATGCTGGCAGCTTCATGATAGCAATTCTTTTGTTGACTTCAGCAGCGGTGCAGCTAGAATAGAGTCAGCATCCCTACCGACAAACCAACTCGCCATCCATCGCATCCTGCTCATCGGTGCTGGCGAACGAGACCCTACCACCAATCACTGCCCCGATAATATAGACGAGCCACGTCAGGCGCCCTGCAACCAACAGAGGACATCAGAACCAAGCAGGTCACACATCACACGAAGGAAGCTGAGGAGATTTGCATTTTATTTCAGCCAAGACACGATTCAAAAGGAGTATCTTTTTGATTTAATGCCCATCTTTATCAGAATTACTCAATTCTCCCCTTGGTGGAGAACAGGCATGACTTAGAAAGAAATAAGAACGCCAGGTCTGCCTGGAAGATTTTCATTATTTAAAACTGATCCACTGCAGAAAGCCACTTGCTTGTAAAACTGTGTTCTATGTATTTAAACATGTGCAGATGCCAGCAGGCAGCGTTTATTCTTTCAAAGTACATGTGGCTGGTGGAGAAGTCATCATCATATGGAGTTTTGCCCACACAAAAAAAAGTGTGCTGTGTTAGATCAGACAATAATGCTTCAGGTGGAAGAGCAACAGTTTCCATACTTGTGCTGCTATGCCCAACTCCTCCATGAAGGGGAAGCCAGCCACGTTATTAGAGAGGGGGCATAACACAGCTACACCTGAACCTCCAAAGGAGCTGCTTCTTTACAGCCAGTGTTTAGCAATTCTTAAACCAACCAGATGAGCAAGTGCAGAACCTCCATGCAGAACCCACCGAATGCTGTGGGTGCACAGCCACCCTCCTTCAGACAGCGGCAACGGCTGCAAACCCCGCTCCCAGTTACTCATTGCCAACAACCAGCTGGAGATTTCTACCACACAGCCAGTGGGGAGGTTCAAATGAGCATTCTGTATCCTGCCTCGGACAAAAAAGGGATGGGGCAGGCAGTGCTGACCAGCTGTAGATGGGGGAACATCCTCAAGACTTGTCTCTGAAAGACTGGGCAAGAAACTGCATGATATTTCCTCAAAAAAGGAATGGAGTCAGTTGTAGGACAGCGATATCTTCAGCCGGCACTGCTGTGTGTATTGGGAGTGTCTGGCCACAGCCAAAAATATTCTACACCATACAGGCACCTCTCCAAGGGAACGTTTGTGAGATCTGCCTCCCCATTTACAGATTTCACCAGAAATGCAGGCTTCAGAAACGGTACTTTTGAGAACGGGCAACCTACTGCAAGCCCACAGTCCGCACTCCTCCAGACACGCTCACCTTCTTGCACAGCAACATCCATGGGGCTGGCGGTGGCACTCTGCAGCAGCTCCTGGTAGGACTGGGCTGACTGGTCGAAGAGCTGCACAAGCAGAGCGCAGGTCTTCTCATACTCGCACCGGCCGATGGTGGAGAGCTGATCCAACTGCTGTTGCACAAGGCCAGTGTCATCCAGTGGATCCTCCAAACCATCCCTAAGTAGCAAGAAAGCAGATTAAGAAAGAACTTCAAATGCAAAGATAGCTTAAACCATAACATAAGCTTCTTTCTGTCAGGTAGAGGATGCTTTCGCAGGCATCCAGCAATTCCAGTGACTGAAGTCCCTGCCTCTACTGTCTGTCACGATGGAGAGCTACGCAGACCGACACAACCACCTGATCATTACTGAGGCCACAAATCACAACAGCAGCGGTTCGGGCAGAAAGGCCATCAGGACCAGGGATGAGTAAGCTCGTCTTGGGTCTTTAACGTTTATCCAGGTCTTTGAAGAGAATGTGCAGCGCCCAGAACAAGGTCATTGGTCATCTTTGTATAACAATGCTTTCCATCTTTCTCAAAATTTCAGTTTTTCCTCCAAATACACTAACCTCAACAATAAGTTTATCGCAAACTCCAGAACTAGCTAAACCTGCTGTTCCTCCCTTACATTGCTGGATACCTAAAAAGGGATAAGCCAACCAGTCTTCCTTAAGAGAGGCATTATTTTTCTATACTTGCACATCTGTTTTCATCGCATACAAACGCACACAAGGTGGACTTCATCCCACACAAACTCAGGCACTGCAATAGAGTCCTGCAGGCTGCTCCTACCCTCAAAGGAAGGAGGAAAAAAAAAAAAAAAGGTACTTTCAGGTACAATTTGCACAACCCTACAGCAGAGATCGAAAAATTAAGTGAATCATACTTTGCATACTTCTTCCTCTCTGTTATGATGGCAATTCAGAGTGTAAACAGTACGCTGCAGATACCCATAACACACTGGAGTCCACTCAGATCAATCTCAGCCATTTGAGACTGAGCAAGGTCTAAAAACACCCAGCTTAAAAAACCCTCCCTTAGAAACCCTTTGGTGACTCACAAAACTTCCTGCAGTCATGCCCACTTCTGAAATCAAACTCAGAAGAGATTCACGCCGGAGCCTCCTGCGCTGGACTCCGGCGCCGACAGGCAGCAGTGCTGCCATCTCTCTGCTTTTCTCACCTCAGGATGATGTGCACAGACTCCAGCCTGGACGTGATGTAAGCTTTTGTGACCTCTGGTGTGTATGTTTCCAGCATGTGAGGCTCTGTGGCTTTAACGTAGGGCACCGACGCAGCCAGTCGCTGCCACAGGCTTAGGAGATAGTGAACGCTGTTCGGCGCGAACTCCCAGTGCTACCAGGAGCCAAGAGAGTGGAAAGGAAAGGAAACCAGTGAGTTGCGGCCTTCATTATTTTATCCATATTATTTTGACTAGCACTAGGTATTCCAACATCTAGAAGCTTTAGTGATCTGGTTGCCAGTTTTAACCACGAATTTCAGTTCACACCTGAATTCAGTGGGCGTTATCGGCGTTCAGCAAAGACTGAACGACACTCCCGAGTTCCTACGCTGCGCAGCTGAGCCAAAGCCTTGGGTCCCAGACAACTGCCGAGCTCCCGCTGTAGCATGCTGCAGACAGCTCCCCAGATAGCTTTAAACTGTATATTCTGTTTTCCAGATAAATATTAAAGTTTAACAAACAAAGGCATTATGTAAGCTATACAAATTACTTTTAACCATATTCTGTGCAGGGGTGTAGTTACAGGCTGCACACCAGTGGAAGACTCAGTGGGGATATGGCATGATATTCATATTACTAGCAATTCCTGCAACTGCATTTTAATAGTGAAGTGATACATAATTCTAAAAATAAGCCTCAGTTAACAAGTTTTTTCTTTTTTTTTTTCTCCCCCTGCTAGGACATGGAAAGACTGGAGGCATAGCAACCCTATTTCTGGTACAGAGTCTGCAGGGTTTTTTGGTAAAAATAACACACAGCGAATTAAGGGGCAAAGAACAGACAAGGGGGTTATAATTTTGTGCCAAAATAACACAAGGGGCACAAGCACCCTTTGAGGGTAAGTCAAACCATTTTGTACCTGCAGGCTGGTCACGGTGAAGTTGGCAATGAGTCGGATGACCTCGGGGTAGTTCTCCACCTTCACCAGCTCTCCCAGTTGGTAATTGCTTTTCAATCGGGCCAGCAATCGGCAGAACTCATGGTAGTTATTTGGGTCTGACAAACTCTGAGAGGAGAGAAAGAGGAGAACAGCTGAGAAACAGCACTACTTCACAACACACGGCAGCGAGCTACAAGAGGTGCAGATTTATGGTGGCACGGTAGGAAAAGGAAAGGAGCAGCAAGATGCTGTGCCCTCCTCCCCACTGCCACAAGAGGGACATGAACATCAAAGTATTTTTGGTGAAGAACCTTGCTGCAGAGGAAGCAGAGACACAATTCCATCTGAAATGCTCACCTGTGGGTTTTCCAGTATTCGTTTAACTCCATCAACGAGATGAGATAAAAACTTTGCTCTTTCCGCATTGTTGAAGAGGGATCTGCGTACAGAGGCTATCTGCACTAAGCAGGATAAAACCTAAAAGGTGCAAAGAAAATAAATAGCAAGGGAGGAATCAGAACAACAAAATGAACGGCATGTTTCCTTTTTGTGACAGAACAAAGTATTTAAGCCCGAAGCTCCTTTGCATGCGACACAACAGCTGCTTCATCTCTGCCATTCTGTGTAGTCTATGTAAAAGTGTAGAAACAAGTGACAGCAGAGACAAAAACATCACCCCCCAAAGGAACGTCTCCATCCTGACGTTCAAAGGTGTGTTCCAAACTCTGCTCCTAAAAATGCTGGGATTTCTTCAGACGGAGAACACAGATCGTGTAAGACTGAAAACACACTGGGGACTGGCAGGGAAAGTCCGTGAACTTAACACAGACTTGGAAAAGTATCGCAGAAGACAGAAGACTGGCAAGAAAAAAAAGATGAAACTGTTCTCAGCCCAAACCTCTGAAAATTAAATCGAGAGTAAATTCCCAGGGTGCAGCTGCAGTAGTATCAGGCTGGTGAACAGGCTTTTGCAGAGCAGCGGCAGTCAGCTACGATGAGCACCCGGCAATCCTCACCCAGGGGCAAAGCCCCATTCCCTCTGCCCAGCCTAAGGACGACCTGCTCAACTCCTAAGCCTCTTGCTCACGCTGGCTCTTACATTTACTGATCAAAGAGGCAGGACAATTAAAGGCGTAATTGCTTCAGATTTCTATTCAGTAACAAAAGCAGAGTCTCACACTGTTAAAATCCTCTCATGAATATTTGAGGCTCTAAATTCAGAATTAGCAAGTAACCCTTCGACATAACGAACAGTGCTGTGTCTCAGCGGAAGAAATACTTCTGAAGGACCCTTCCCACCCTAGCCAAAGGGCCTATATTCATTGTAGCATTAATTATGAAAAATATTTATCAGATAGATAAATGCCTGGCAGGCAATTTTTTTCACGAAGAAATAATCCAACTTTTAGTTCAGTTGTGCTATTGGCCATGTCATCCAACTGGGACATGGCCTAGTTTTAAGGCGTGGAAGGAGAAATTGCATTCCTCGGCTGCGCTCCCAGACTCGCTACCTACTCGCAGGACGGTTTTGGGATCAGCTTCGCAGTACAGCGGAAACGACATAAGCTGCATCGCCCAAAAAGGGTTTACTGAAGAGCGAGCAGGCAGACTCCAAGCTACGCAAGGACAAAGAAGTAGTCTGGCCTTAGGTCAAATCCCAAACCTGCAGATGCATCAAAACTCTCAGCAGCAGCGCCGGAGCAGCCTCCCCTTTGTGGATACCTCACAAAGCAGTGCCATCAAAGCACAGGGAGCTGTCTGAAGTCAGCCTAGGGCGCTTTAACCAACAGTGAGTCTCCCAGATGAATCCTACAAACACTTTCAGGTAGCAGAATCTGTAAGCAAAACAAACATTAAACTTACCAGAGGAGAAAACGAAGGAGGGATGGAATGATAAAGATCAAAAAACAACTGAAGGGTCGAAGAATCCAAGAATGCTGCAAGAGAAAGGAGCTTTTTAGTGAGAATACCTCCATCTGCTGCTGTCCATAGGTCTAATGCTTATCTTATCAACAGCGGCATGTGCACTTGTCATGTGAAGTACCACAGTATAAGAACATTTCCAAAGGATTTTACATTTTTACACAACTGCCTTTCTCAGAAATAAAGTAAACCCACTGGTACTCGGTCCTGAGACAAAATAACAGGAAAACATTGTAAGAACACAATCTGTAGAAACTGCCTGCAGAGTGACTGGCGAGAACAGCAAGGCTGCTGAGGACAGGTGCCAAGTTCTTTGTTATTTACATTTTTTTTTAAAAAACCCACAGTTTACTGTTTCTTGAATTGGCAGGTGTAAGACTGAAAGGGTAGAGGAGTATCTTTGTAGCTCACAGTGGCCCACGCAAACTGAACGGCGTTTGTATTCGCACCAAGGACTCTGGCATCGTACGCAGAGTTGGTTTGTTAAGCACAGAGGGGGCTTTAGCAGGCCCCCCATGCTTTCAGCCGGTGTGCCGCAGATCAGCCCTCTTCCTCCAGCAACATTACCTGATCTCCAGCTGGTTGGGATCTGCACAGTGCAAAGATCATCTGAGGACTCGTCTGTTGATGTGCCGATGAAATCAAAGTTCAGGCAGTTATGAGTGAGCTTAAGGAGCTGCATGAGCAGACCATGCTGGCTTTCATCATTTAGATTCAGGTTCTTCCCAGAAGCCTATAAAACACATCGCATGAAAAAAGTAAAGAGACAAAGAAAAAGAGGTGACAGCTGAATTTGAGGCAGTAATTCAACTTGAAACAGGATGTGGCAGCCATAGGGATCGTATCCCACAAGGACCAGCCCCAGCTATCACACACTCTTCCAGACAGCTGGCGTATTTACACGCGATGGACAAACAGACAGCGCTTTCTTTTTCACTCGGCTTGTACCGCACAGGAGAAAAGCAGGCAGGCTTGCCAGCTTGCAATTATACTGTGAGATTCAGAAGATAAGGAAGTTCTTATTAAGGTTCAACACAAGAATACACTTTCTGCCTGACGAGCACCCAGCAGCAGGGAATCCTGTTGCTCCACCTAAGCCTCGCATGGAAATGAGCGCCGTCGCCTTTGTCGCGCCGATGATCTCTACGAGTCCTGCTCCAGTTACAACACTCTGCTCCGGGCAGGGAAAACAGGGATACTCTCAGGTAACGCAGGGAACTCGAGGGACACAAAATGCCAGGTCATTTCACGGTAGTTTAAGTGTAGCACCCTGGTCTGTACTCCAGGGACAGGACAGCCCGTCCAGCCTTTGCATTAGTGCTCTGTACTTAAAACTAACTTCTTCCAGCTTAAGTCTACTGCAAATAACACATCGCACCGCGACGCCGCTGCCAAGACCAGCGCCAGTGGTTGCTGGAATGTCTTGCTCACTCCCTCCACTGTATCACAAAGCCTGATTCTTCTGGGGCTGCCTCAACGCACCCTGTTTCACAGGCAGGGATACAGATGTGAGCAGTGGTTTCTCACAGCCCAATCTTCCCCACTCAGAAACATCACCTTGGAAACTTCTGCTTTAGATACAGAAGCTTGAGGCAGCTACTATTAGAGAAAAAAGACAAGACATAACTTGGGTAGCAGGTGTTTAACCACAGCAAAACAAGGACATTGCATGACACCACAGAAAACATTCCAACCTGTCTTAAACCACAGCATCCCAAGCAACAAAAGCAAGACGAGTAAGAGCTAGGGTGGAAAACTAGAGGCTTCCTCCTGAGACAAGCTGTGCCTTTCTCGTCTCTCCGACCCCACGGCCCTGCAGCAGCAGCAGCCTGGGCCAGGGCTCAGCCAGAGCTATCTGTACAGGCCGCCAGCGAGAGTGCAGTGCCGGGGACAGCAGGTTCACAAGCTCTGGTTTGTGCCTCCTGGCTGAGCACAAGCACTTGCTGAATTTTCTCCAGCAAGCCTGGGCAGTTCTAAGGACCCTGTCCTGCCTGCACCTCTCCGGGCGCTGCTTTTCACAAAACTAGAGGAGTCTTCTTATCTCCAAGACCTCTAATTGACCATCAAATGCACCTGAAACCAGGCAATGAATTCAAAAGTTACCAGGGCTGTTCTGGTTCAGGAGGACGGGTGCATGGGAAAGGATCACGAGCATAATTGCACAAGCCTTGCTTCCTTTAGAAACCAGGAGGAGAAAAAAGATCAAATTACACCCACGTACCCACCTTTATTACTGACAGAACCAGAGCTGCTCATTTTGAAATATCTTTAAAATAAAATTTCCTTCTCACTCTTTGTGCTATTTGTCAACTTTGACACTTCACTCAGCTGGAAGGATAAAAGTTAAACTAATCAAATCTGTGCTACTGCAGCTCAGTTTATTGGGGTAGCCTCTTCCATAAAGGGCTATTCTTCAAGGCACCATTAGAACTCCAGATTTGCTTTTCAGCAGAGAAACCTTATGCAGAATAAAGAATTTTGTTCAGATAATCTACCTGCTTACAAAACACACCAGTGCTACTTCTGCTGAAAGAAAAACTGCTTTTTTGGAGGGGAAAAACCAACCCTACTAGCAGAGCATTGCTGCCTTGTCCCAGGATAAGTATTTTTAAAGCACGTTAACTCATGTGATAATTAGCACAAAATAAAGCCCTGAGAAACACAAGACCATCTAATATTTATCATACGTTAAAATATCAAGGACAATCTATAGTCTCCATCTACTAGACATATCTTCGCTAACATTTTTTCTCTCACCATGTGGGTTTTAAACTGAGGTTAAAAACGAGACAAGGACTTACTTTACAGGAAACCTCTCTGCCAGTACTGTAAATCAAAGATATTTAAAATCTAGAACAAACATCTCATCTCTTTCCTGATGCTTTAAGACAGGAAAGTTTAGCCTCATGGACCAGGCATGTATGTTCAATCAAAACTGTTGAAAAGAGTTATATTTCTGTATTTGTGTCATATTCATTTTTCTTCCTTAACACAAACCTAAGTCAAAGCTTTCCTGAAAAACAAGCCCAGAACATAGCTTTTAGAACAACAGGGCTCATTCCAGGAGAGTTACATCTGAGGGAACTTCAGCCCAGAGTCTGCTGCCCCAACATACAGCCCCCGAGAGAGACGACACACGACAGTTTCCTTACCTGTTTCAGTAAATTGCATGACAGTGTGAAAATATCAAACAAGGATGAATCTCGGAAGGAAGAGGCTATTTTCCTGTGCTTGGTCAGTGGATGGGTAGTATCCGCCTGAGCAGAGAGAAAAGCAGCGCTTAGAACTGACGGCAGAAGTGGAACAAGACCAGCAGAACCTGTAGGAACCCCGCTGAGCACTGGGATGTGAATGCTCCCCCCCCAGAGCGATGTCTCAGCAGCTGGCTAAACCAGGGGATGCACTGCAGAACAGGGCTTCTTCCACGGAGAAAGTCACCTTGCTGGCTGGTGACAGGACTTGCCACCTACAATACTCACTATGCAGCTTCACTGTACCTCTGCCAGAAGGCAGGGTTGGCTTTATAATCAAGTTCATTCAAATCTCTTCCAAAGCAGGATCAAGAGCCGTATTTTCAACAGCACTTTGGTCATTTTAGACGCTTCAATGCTGCTTTCTGAAGTGCTCTGAACTCCTAAGAGTTCACTCCTACCTGAAGCCGCTGGGCAGACACATGGTCAACTACCAACAACTGTAATTCCCCTCCTGAACCTGCACAGACGAGAAGAAAACTAGAAGGAGAGTTAACCAGTGACAGCCAGTTTGGACTTTGCTGTATCTACTATAAACTCCAGTTCTGGACCTCTCACCATGTCAGAATAAAAAGCTGACATATGATGTCAGGGGCAAATACATACATATTGCTTTCTACTGGACAACAAAGTCTCCAGCTGATTCAACCAACACATTCTAGCACAGGAGAACAGCAGCACAATTTATGCCACTTCAGAGAGTGTTTTCTAGGAAGAGGAGAAAAGTGAAGCGATACTTCACATCTTTGCCATTTACTTGAACACAGGCTGGCAAAATTCCACTTGCCCAGGTGAGTTATCTGACAGGCAGATGGTTAGCACAGTGCATCTGGGATGGAGCCTTCCTGCGGCCCGCACAATGTCAATCTTAATTTTCTTTATGCTTTTGGTATTACACCTCCATTAACCTGAAATACGCACACATCTCACCCGGTATTGCAGGCACTGGTACAGCTCTGACCATGGCACACCTCACTTTAATGTCCTAACCTTCACAACAACCCCGCAGAGGATGTAAACACTCTTCTCTCCTATCTTACAGGTGAGAAGGAGAAGCCCTGCCTCACCCAGCAGCTGGTGGCAGATAAAAATTGGATCTAAGTTTATCAAGTGCTCTAATGACTGAATTATCATTCCTCAGCTCAGGCTGAGGGTTTTTTTTTCCTCTAGATTTCAGGGTCCTTTAAGAAAATGAGAATTATTTACTCTCACCATCATTATTACAAATCTGACTTATTTCTGGGCTTGTGGCAAACGAGGATTGCCGCCTTCTTCACCATGAGGTCATGCGGCTTAAAATCAGTGAACTTCTACAACGCAGTGGACACTCAGTACCTCTGGGCAAGTCTGTGCAGTACTTACAGGATGAAAACTGATACTTCAAAACAGTTACTAGCACTCTCTTTTATTTGTACTGTGAGCTTTTGGAACTAAAGCTGTGGTAAACAGAGCTCTAGAAAATTCGCCTGTCACGCAACATAGTTGGAAGTTTAAATAGTTATCAAAAAAAGCCTGAAGAGAATCCCCAGAAGGGGGATTTGGGTGTTTTTTTTGCTATGTACACGTACATGACCCCACTCTGACAAGTGGGCATGTTGGTAGATCTATTATTTTGCAAGTAATGGCAGTTTTAGACTTTCCAAGATGAGTCACTGAATCCAGCCCCGTACAATTGCTGGTACAAAGCACATTTAGGATTGAGCAGTAAAATGTGGCAGGTTTAATATCCAAGATATCAGGAAGAGCTTTTTGATCAGTCTCTAACTTCATTGCTTATTTCAGTATCAGCCTGTGGAGATTCTGGAACTGGGACAGGCGACAGTTTCTGTGCCGACCACTCTCCTGCAAGCAGCAGCTGCGGCCCTGTAGAAGATGTCGACAGACACACTCTGTTTCACAGAGGTGACCAGACCTGCTGTCACCCTTGATACAAGGAAGTGAAGGACCATCCCTCTGCAGAGATGGGCGTTAGGCTGTACAAAAGTCTGGGCAAGAAAACAGTAACAAGACACGGCTTAAGAGTTAGGAGGAGTTCTATGGGTTAGAGTTTACTGCTCAGGCCAGAAGAAACCATTCTTGAAGAAATAGGGTGAATTTGGGGTCTGAAATGGATGCAGAAGCCATTCTGATCACAGTGCAGGCTTCTGGGGGTTCAGAGGTGCTGAACTTGAAGTCCAGCAGAAGAAATCAGTGCTTTGCCCTGGCCAGGACAAAACCTTCTCCTCCATTTCCAGTTCTGAAAACAATTTGTAACCATCCTTCAAATCCCACTCACGGATCTCTCTGTTCCAATGCCTGGATTAGTCAGTATACCAAAATGAAAGGTTAGTTTCCTTAACAATATATTAAAATCAAAATACTTCGTTACACTTGGTCCTCTTGGCAAAATTAGAGGCATTTACATACACTGCAACTCTCACGCTGTGGCAGCCATCGATGGTGCTACAGCAAAGTCTGCCTGACTGATTAGGAAAACGATGTAAACTTAGACAGCACCAAGTAAAGCCACTTGTTCCAGCTTTCAGCATGAACACCGAGAGGCAGCCTGACGTTAGAGGGCTCTACGAACCACTGAACTATCTAACCTGGAAAGACTCGCAGCAGCTGGCAGGACTGGGTGCTGTGCTGGAGCACCCCAGACTCAGCGTGCCCAGTCTTTCTTCTGCCAGCCACCCAGGGCCGGGGCTGTGTGAGGGACTGAGCCCTGATAAACCAGCAGAATTTGAGAACTACCTGCCGGGAACGCTATGAAATTCAGTACTTAATGAAAAGGATGCTTTAAAAATCAGCACGATTCAACAAATCCTTTGTTTCGTCTCCCTGGTCGACGCGGAGGAGGGCGTGCTCCATTCGCTTCTTGGCACAGGAACTCTGTAAGCTGAAACAACGCACAGGGACTGACAACAGAAGGTGCCAGGGATGTCCTCGCGCTCGGGGCTCTGTCCTCACTAGGTAGACTTGGCTAGCTGCTTAGCATTGCTGTGACAACAGAAGGTGCCAGGGATGTCCTCGTGCTCGGGGCTCTGTCCTCACTAGGCAGACTTGGCTAGCTGCTTAGCATTGCTCTTCCCTTTTTCATCTCAGAAGGTTACATCAAAATATGAGAGAAGATGGAAGATGGCAGTGAAACAAAACAGGCTGTAAGTGGCGAAGTAACTCACTTTTGGAAGTAACTGCAGGAGAGAAATAACAACAACAACAAAAAAAACAACCCACCAAACAAAACAACAAAACACCCCCACACAACACCCCCTCCCCACCAAAAAAAACCCAAACAATGCACAGACACACAGCAGGACACAACAATATGAATGAGAAAATTGGACACTTACTTCACTGAGGAAGGCTGTAGCACTTACTTGATTAATTTCATTCGTTAGTTGGGACAGGATTGTCACTCCTATGATGCAGTGCTCTACACTATCCTGAGGAAGGAATGGGGACAGCGAGAGCAGTTAGCAGTTGTTTTCATTAAACGTCGCCATCATTCCAAGACCCTTCTGCTTGGAAGATTTCTAGACATGTTTGTCTCGAAATGCATCATCTTTGTGGTATCACGACTGGTAAAAAGCCCATGAGCAATACCAAGCACAGACCTTAAAATGTGCTTTTAAAGTACCTGGTGGTGTTGACCACGCAAAGGGTTCTGAAGAGTTCGGTGACATGAGCTAATAAAAACAGGCACCTTTTACTCAATAGTTTAACCAACGTTTTTGTGTTATGCCCCAACTCTAAAAAGATTTTTTTTTTTTTTAAATCAGTTTGTTTTAATTTTAACAGAGCCTGTGGTAAAACATATGGAAATTTCTACAACATTAGGATGAGTATTAAAGTTGCCAGATGAAAACTCTTGGAAACAAACCTTTTTCCTCCTCCCTTTTTAAACTACAGACCTTGAACACAAGTAGCAGCTGACCAAGCTTCTCCCCACAGCCCCCTACAGCCCTGGAACACACGTAGCAGCTGACCAAGCTTCTCCCCACAGCCGCCCCACGACCCTCCTGCCAAGGCCAGGCTGCCTCCCCTGCAGGGAGTCCGCTCCTCCAGCCTGTCCAGCCCCGGGCTGCGCTGCAGGCGGCCGACAAGGGGCCGGTGGTGAAGCCAGCCTGTGACAGCTTCCTCTTCACCAGAAATGGTAATCCACTTATCAAATGAAACAACCCGTGTTGTTCCTTTGCCCCAGTTTCTGTTCTGTAACTAATAAATGAGGTTTCCTTTCCTAGCTCCACCTTGCTTTGCACCTTCTGCACAAATTGCCCTGACCTCCAGCTTCAAAGGCCGAGCTCATCTCCAATAGAGAAATTCAAGCATATTTATGCTTGGGACCTTGGCCACTTCTTTACTGGAGCCACCTCTCGACGACAGGCTCCATATTGACATGGTATCTAGACAAGAAGCCAGTGGAAAACCTTGCTGAGCCACGTCTTTAAAAAACGTGCAGCCTCCTGTACGCTGCCGCAGCCAGAGCAGGTAACTCGAGCAAACGGGAACTGACCATCTCAAACCGAACACAGCAAGCAGTCACACCACTCCAGAAGGTTCCTGATCAAAAAGCCCACATTCCCCATGTCATGAGCTGGGCGAGCGAGGAATAACTCTGATCATTTCAGCTAAGAGCACCTGTGCTCTTTGGGACAGTTATCAGCCCAGAAAGGAACACGATCTTCAGATTACCCAACACCTTCTAGGTGCCGCTTCACTGCGGGTATGTAAATGCCTAAAATAATAGCAGTAGTTAGCCTGTTTTCTGAATGCCCACTCTCTCCCACTTCAGAATTAAAGCCTTGCACACATTGCATCTTTTCCACACTTGGAAGAAGTTCTGGTCACTTTGATCTCTCCTTCTGTCTTCCTCCAACTTCTGATTCTGGGACAGATTCCAGAGCAAACAGCTCAGCATTTACGGTGTCACAGGACTCGCTGCTCTCTGGGAGGAAGCTTCAGTCTCCAGACAGCTGTTGATAAAAACGCAGCCTTGCACCTATGCCGTCCTTGGTGCTGGGAGTGAAACCCTCTGCCGTGGTGACAACATGTACGCTTGCGAAATAACAGCCAGGACTTCTACAGAAAACTGTTAACAATAACGTTTGTGTAACCTGCTAGTTTTAAGCTACGGTTTGTTTTGATAACTCAGCTAAACACCAAACATGACTTCCATGGATATATCACCCGCGCAGTGAATGGAAGCAAGCCAAGCATGGCACACATTTCCCTCGTAGACAATAAGCCCACATGTTCACCATTTTGTGCTAATCAGCACGGTGTATTTAAGCTTGAGAGACTGAAAGAAGAATTGTGCAACTGGAATGCTAAGAGACATGTTTTACCACTGAATACTAACGGTGGCAGTTTCCGGAAAGAAATCCCTGCCCCACCAGATTTTAATTTCATAAAAACTGACCTGTCCTGCCAGTTGTCAGCTGCTAAGCCTTGGTAGTCACTACTCAGTCAACAAAAGCACAGATGAAAGACTGGACAGAGGACAGTAAGGAGCAAAACAGCGACTGAAAACGCATGGACTTTCAAATCCTACAAGGTGTGTATTCGTCTCACCAAAAAAAGTCTGACCTGTAAAAACCTTGTGACATCTGTGATCACGTTCCTGAAGACATATTCATCCTTCTGACAGTCAAACCAGCCCAACTTTGTGATCCTGGCATACAACTGGATTAGCGCTTGCGTGACAAACGTTGCCAGCTTTGGCCTAGTGGCAAGGTAGTTGAGCACATAGTTCCCTGAAACACAGAGGAGAGGTGTATCTGTAGACAAACACTCGGCAGATGGAACTGAGACGGCAGTATTGTTAGGAAAAAGCACCTTTTTGGAAAAAAAAAAAGTCAGCACAGTAGTGGGTTAGACACAAACACTGACCTTTTACTCGTGCCTTTAACATACTAAAGCTGTGGAACAGATCTGCAAAGTGGTTAGAGGCAGGTAAGAGTTCCTCCCCACTAGCCGAACTTGTTTTGTCTTATCAGATTAAGTCCAATCCTCTGTAAGCATGTGTAAATATAGCAAGAACAGCTGAAAATATTCCAAGACCTTTCCTCAGGGATGATCATCTACCACATCATTTGTAAAAAAGAAAGCAGACCAAATGGCATTCAGACTCCTTCCTCGGAGGAAAGGAAGGCCATTCTCCAGGAAGGAGCACTGGGACAGACCGCTCCCCTAGGAAATACTCTCCATGATATTTCAGAGACCCAGCAAGGGTTTTCAGTTTTGAACGCGTGCCCTCAGAAGAGGCAAGCACCATGCATATTTTATACTCCAAAGGAAATTTATCAAATACAACTGGTTTATTCAAAAGACCACAGAGCCGTCATTCCCTTCCATCTGGAAAACATCTGTATATTTAGCCTTGAACTCTGTTAGCTAACAACACAGGTGAAGATGCCATCCCAGAGAAAGGTTTCTTTGCCTTTTGGGCATCCTGTAGCCTAGGAACGCCCAAACTGCAAAGCACAGCAGCTTGCAGAGAACTTCCCACCCGTGGACGAAAGTCCACACGACAAATACTCACACCAGTGTGGTTACAAAAAATAAGTCTTGTACTTACGAATATCTATTCGTTGCTCCAACGGTAAAGGGTTGTTTGTGCGTGACACGAGTTTTGTAAGGCATGTAGCTGCCAATAGCTGGGAGTAGGATGACTGTAAAGAAAAAAACAAACCACCCCACAAACAGAAGTTTACCGCACACTTCAGGACAAGAAGATCAAGCAGCAATGCTGGATTTTAAGCTAATTGCTGTCTGGACATTTGAGTTTAAAGCATTAATTTAATTGGTAAGCCTAATACTCTATATAACATTTATTCTACCTTTTTATAGACACTAAAGTAAACTAAATTCTCAAAGAAAGCATTTAAGAAAGGAAAAGATTTTCAAGAGGAGAAGACAACAGAACTGCCACTGAAGGCAGGAGTAAAACTGCAAACATAGTCAACGTGCACAAAGTTACGTTAAACACCATGCCTGAAAAAGATAATTAGCCCTTTGAGCCACAGAAATACATTACTATACATTAAGAAGCACTTACAACTTCCACTTGATTACTAACTACAGGTTAAAATGTATTACTTCGAGAACAGCACGCAGACCACTGAACTGTAATCTAATTCAGGGACACAAATGATGGTACTCAACCACCTAAAACCTCCGGCTGCCCCCGACTCCCCAAGTTCAGCCAGGGAAATGACAAGCATTTTGCATGCTCATTTCTGTCATACATAGTGCTGCAGCAAGCTTAGTATCCAAGAAGCAGGAAATCCATTTATTCCAACATTCCCAAGGACAGTCAGGTATAAAGTGAGTCAGATCCCAGACCAAAGAAAAAACTCCGCAACCCTCTGGCAAGGGTCAGAGAGGCAATGGATCACACACAGAGAATGGAACTGGGGCTTAGGAACTTCAAATAATGTGTCCTCCAGTAAACCAGCTGCTAGTTCCCATCAGAAGAGCATCAAATCAGTTTGCTTTAAATTCACTGGACTTCAAATTTAACAAAAAGTTAGATAATTTGCTTTGTGTAAGTTTGTTAAGCCTGTTAAGTCTCACTCTTCTGCCCTTCCCTTCCCACCTTCTCCTCCTCCTGGAGGACTTGCTCCTTACAACAGGCTCTTTCATCTTTCCTCTTTTTGTGAACAGAACGCCAATCTGATAGATCTGAAAGCTGGATGCACATTCTGCCAAAAGTCAGATCTTGCAAGATCGTGTGGCAAAGCCATTTTAAACATTATTTGTGCTGATACAAAGTGAAAACCAAATGGCCACTTAAAAAGAGGAAAGCTAAAAAAGTCAGGCAGGATTTACTGCTGGCATATTTTACGTCCTTTCTGTAACACTAATTCTAAAGCACATGATCTAGTTTTCCCTGTTTTAAACTGCTGGATTATTAAGACACCACTATAGGAGGGGCAATTTTCCAAGGAAGCATTCCAGCAGAAACACCGCTGGGTTTATCCCCTACGAACCTCTGCACGCACACCATTTTCTCCCCAAAGCCTACAGCGAAGGCAGCGGTTCCCACAGTCTACGAAACGGCACTGCCAGAATAACGTTTTCAGCTTCAAGCTGGACGTGGCTGGGTGGTGGGCTGCGAAGAGGGCAGCAAGGCCCACAAGACATTCGAATTGACAACCGTTCGCAGCACCCGCCGCAGCAGCATCATTTGCCATCGGAGCCGATGCTTTTTTTGGCACAGGCTGCTCACAAATTGAGATGCAGGAGAGCATACTGGGTATGGAATATAAACACTGCATACCAGACCTTGAGGCTATTTCCCTTATCGGTGCCCAAAATACCAAGATACATTTTGGACAATTATATTGTTTTACATACACTCCCTCTTTCTAGAAGAAGCTGGCACTTGCTCAGGCAGTCTGGACTGTTGGTGAACTCAACCAAGGCTTTCTCTGCCTGGAGCCGTGTCGCAGTGTCTGTGGTCTCATACAGCTGCTTGCACAGGTTCTCTAGCTGGGCTAGGCTCTGGAACACAGGAAAACAAATCCATCAGAAACAAGAGGTTTTACAGTTTAGGTATGCAGCAGTTTTAACCCAGGTTACATGCACACATACATCACTTTACTTTTTGCACAAAGGAAGGAAAATGCTCAGCTCATTGTTCTGCCATCAACTAATTGCACTTCGCCTACTAAAGTACCTGTACAGAAATTTCACAGCTACCTCTCAGACCCGACAAAGTACCACGTTGCCTCCCCACTTTCACCTTATTTTACCTGAATCCACTCCCAGGGTCAGCACTCCCCCAGCCCGACTGCATCGTGCGGCTGATCAGGTCTGAAAACCTCCTACAGCTCGTGCTGTAGCGGCGATAATCCTAATCTGCCCGTTTTAAATAGCAGAAAAACATCCTCGTGTCTAGTTTTTACATTATACAGTGTCAAATCCCTCACAAACTTGGTTTATACTCCCTTTGCAGGGCGCTGTAACAGACTTCAGCATCCCAGGATGCTGGAAGGATCTCATGTTAAATCTTCTACCCGATACATGCCAAAAATACCTAAAGCAGAACAGAGCAAATGAAGAATGGGACGGATGCCTTTGAGCGGCGTCTCTGCAAACGCGTTCAAAGGGAAATAAAACTACCAGGCAGGTTCTGTGTGCTCAAACAACTGGAAAACATTCGCCATAAACTGTGATCCAGGCAGATGGTTTCCCCCAGTGAAATCTTAGGTGTCCTAGTTAAAAAGTGGCTTCACAGATAGATATAAATATTCCCTCAGGTTCTTACTGCTAGATTAATAAGCAGGTATTTTCAACTGCTTTAGGGCTACATTCCAGGTTTCCAGGGGTAAATCATTACAAGCATACCACAGCTTTTGTGATTTGTAAAAAGAGGGATAGCATCAGTCGCCTAATTTATTTTGGGAGAAGAGACTGCTGTGCAAAGCCGAGCTGCCGACAGGGTCAGCCGAGGGATCCAGGCACTCTGTCAGCACACAGCCAAACGCTTTCTTACACACGGCCACAGCAATCCCGCACCGAAAGCGCCCAGAAGTTTTTGCTGCTCTGCTGCCGAGACGATCATCGGGTAAGACAGTGTCAGAAGAGTCAGAGAGGGACCCCCCGCAGACATTCTCTTACCTTGTGCCATATTCCAGAGCTCTGATTTTTTTTTTTTTGGTAAACAACAACCTAATGGAAAACATTGCCCTGACACCTTCACTACCTTAGAGAAATCAGAGAACTTTTCCAAGTGCCAGACAGCAGCTCAACATACAGTTTTGATTTTGAGACAAGCAAAACTCAGAGACTTCAGCTCTGCATAGAAAAGCCTCAAAAATCTCAGATGAATATAAACCATTATTAACCATAAACTATTACAAACCGTATTAACTCCAGTTAAGCCTCTGTCAGCACCTGTCGTTTCTCATTACATATCCACTTTCAGTTATTTAAAATCAGTTGGTAAAGTCTACATAAAGGAAGGTGGCTGTTTATGTGTATCATCTTCAGCCCAAGGACAAAACACCATTTCCCCCAAACCTCCAGAACCCTCGTGGCCATTTATCAGTTTGAAAAGCTCCTGTGACCCTTTGGTCCACAAGTGTACGATGGACCGAGCCCTCGGGAAGCGGCTCAGCCTGGCTCCACAGTGATCAATCGCAGCCCACGGTCCCACACCGAACCAACAAATGCTCATCTGGAGAGTGGAGTTTACAGTTCTGGGAAAAAAGTATTTTTTAAAAAATTTTACATCACTGTGCATTAGTTCTTGGAGAAACTCAGGAATGGGGTTTCCCTACAGCCAGCTTTCTGCCCACCTCCAGGAAACGCTCATTCCCTGCGACTTTCTGGGACTCGGTGGCAATAACCATGGCTGCTTTTGTGCGACGCTCGCCATGACAAAACCCCCTTGTTTGTGCACACTGCGTGCTCCGTGCCAGCCTTCTTGCAGATTACGGTTAATTAACTCCCTCGGAGCCAGAGGAAACACGCAACCTCCAGGACCGAAACCAAACGACTCCAAAAAGCCAACTGCACCAGCCAAACAGCCCGTCTGCTGCCCGAGAGATACAGCACACAAGATCCCTGTTAAACGCCCCATTAATGCCACTGCGGTCATTAAAGCAGTTTTCCTGCTAGAAAAAAAATCACACGCATGCAAAAGCTAGCCCAAATTATCCAGGAATAAAAGCACACTCCATTCACGTTAGATTAAGCCATGCATCCACACTAGGTTTTAAACATATTTTTAATATCATGTCTCTTACTGTGCAGTGCCAGCCGCCCCGAGTGTCCCTGTCCAGACACTCCTCAAGTTCACTCGGTATTTCCTCCCCACAGCATCCCCAGACACCCAGCTGCAGAGGGGCAGCTGGACTGGAAGGATTTTGGGGCACAGTACCAAAGCCTACGAGGGCAACTCCGAGGGAAAGCTGATGTCCCAGCTTGGGAGTTTTCATCCGTTCTTTCAAGTTTGTGAATGGTCATTTTAATTTAACGTGCTCAAATATCAGAAAAAAACATTCGTGATGAGCTGTAATCCAACCAAATCAATTTCTCTGATGAAAAACCTTTAGGAATAATTTTTAGGGTTGTCTCGCCAATAAATTTCTTTTCTCCTCTCATGCCCTAACTCGGTTATCTCTCACACAGAGAGGCAGAGCAGTTGCGCTGCCCTGACACTGCACGCCAGGCTTGCAGTGTTACATTTTCAGCATGTTGTAGAAATCAGGCTGGCCTTCTCCAGCTCCCTGCTTCCAAAGTCAGAGACGTTCGGGTATTAGGGGTAGCAATTAGGTGGGGATTATTTCACTACATCGACCGGGCAAAGCCTACTCTTTCAACCAAGATAAAAAAAATACCATTCAGTATAACGATTATACAGGGCAAGAGCTCTGCATATTCTAGATAAGGACTAAAGCATGAGACAGCAGAGTATTTGAAGCAGGGAGACGCTCTGGCATCCCGCTAGCTGGTGAGCCGAGAAGAAAAACAGCACTGCGGACAATTACAACTAATCAAAACTTGACCTCATCGCTCCTCTGAGAACCAACAGCTCCACAAGCCCTTTATAGAAAGAAGAACCCAGTCCTTTGGACCTAGGGAAGGCAAGAAGGTGTCAACGAGGGTTCAGGGTTGTGGGGGAGCTGATGGAGACTCTGCAGCCATCGGGATGGCATTTTAGGAGAAGAACTGCTGCGTCACGGGTGACAGCCCCAAGCATCAAACACCTCCCCCTGCGCCGGCTCCCGGCCTTCCGAATCGCTCTTATCTGCTCCTCGCACGACGGCACTGAAATCCCAGGATTTTTCTATCATATTCTACTAACACACACACACGTATGCCCAAAGTACTTGACGCAGTAATAAAAATATCCCACGTGGTCCAGTTTCTCCCGTACCTCACACTACGAAGGGTTGTGTGTCTTCAACGCATACCTAAAAGCCTCGACTGCCACCCAGTTTTTCACATACCCACCTCTCCTAAGACTCCACTTCAAGCTCAGCACAGATGATCACGCTTCACTTTTCCCCCTCCCCGAAGCCAAGACACAAACAACGCCTGTGCTTTTCCCTCCAATAAAGTGTGGCAATTAATGCCTAATAATGGAAATCAGCACCCTATCTCAGTGTTCTTCTAAATCCAGCTTCCAGGCATGACACCTCATTAAGTCACTGCCTACGAGCCTCAGACAATATCTTTGCAAGCAGAAGTTGAGTAAGTTTGTGTCCCCAGGAAAAAGACCCCAAAGCAGGGTGATATTTTCGAGCCGTCTCCCCAAACTGGAGCTCAGCCCTTGCTGTGCAGGAGGAGGACAACGCAACACACCCTGGTGTTTTGTACGCAGCAGAAGTGTTTTTCAACAAGGGAAAGTGTATTTATCCGAAACCAGCGAACCTGACAAATGATTAGCAAGACTTCCACTGCTCTTCCCTGCGGCAGCAACGAGCTCCAGGGCAGCTTTCCTGCAGACCTACGTCCCGCAGCGAGTCGGGGGCTCCTCACCCCGAGCCCTGCGTGCAGCGAAGCTCTCCCCACCGCGAGCTGCCCGGTCCCGAGCAGGAGCTGCCGATCCGTCGGCCTCGTAGGAACTTTGCGTCATTTTCTTGCTTCTTTCCTTAATAACATCGAGCACTGAGATGAAACGAGTTTTCCTCTGTATACAGCACCCCCTTTGTACAATCTTGGCCTCGGATGTTTGTCCGCTGAGAGCAGCTGTGAAGCTCAAAACATGGAAAAAACCCCCAACCTATCAATCTCATTTATACTACAAGCTACAAATAAAACTCGTGGCTGTTCAGTGTTTTCCCTGTGGTGAAGATAAACAATGTGTGATCATCTTTAAAATGATAAATACTACAAGGAAAGTAACAGCTACCTAAAAGGAGTCCCCGGGGGATGGCGGCGGAATTGATCCTATATTACACGGTTGCTTAAGCAACGCTCTTTACATCCAAGGGCTGCAAGAAGCTCGAGGCAGGTTTAGTTCAATAGTTTGACTTCGCCACGCTGACAGTTCCCATTTCAGAAAATTGAGGAAACGCACGCTGTGCTCGGCGTACGCAAGATGGCAGAGCCAGAGAGTGAGCAGGAGCAACGCAGCCAGCCCCGAGCGCTCGGGGGGAGCAGGCAAGCAGTAACCCCACGGCCTCAGACATCCCAAATGGAGCACTGGGCTTAAGGAGATCAGCCCAAACTTTTCTGCTGGTTCTGGTCCTGAAGGATGTGCGTTACTGCAAACCCTCCAGGCACACACTGTTCCCAAGACATTCCTTCCTCCTGCCTTATGGTTACCGACTCCCTGATCCTGCAACATGGTTAATGCAGTTATTTTTGTCCCAAGCACATTCATCCATTTTAATATCCCTCAACTGATTCCCCCATATGTTATAATCCAAGTCGGACCTTGCAAGCGCTGGGCAGCTGCAGGGCAGGCGATGTTTATGTCCTGCTCGCTATAAGCATGCAGGAGGCCCCAGAAGAGTTACCCACGTTCCTCCAGGATGTGCCATCAC